TGTAAAAACTTCAATTGAATTTCAATAAAGTTAAAGGCATGGCCTCACCGTTAATATTTAAAAAAAAAAAAAAAGTAAAACCAGAAGTCTATGCATATAAAGTTTATTTTAAATACTGCATATGCAGCATATTATTACTATTTTAATATTTATAATTAATTTTTGTATAATGATAATAATAAAGTATAAAATAGGTTTGTAAGAACAGTTATATAAAAGAAAAGAATTAGTAATTAATAAAAGATCTAATCTTTTCTCTTAAACTAATATAAAATGAATATTTGTGTTAACCTTGCATGTTGAAGAAATAAGATGTTAGTTGGAGTTAATTAAAAAAGTAAAAGTGTTGGTTGGAGTTAATTAAAGAAGTAAAGGTGTTGGTTGGAGTTAATAAAATAAGAAAATAGATAGAGAAAACAAACAACAAACACTTTTTTTTTAATATAAAAGAAATTAATTATTTAAAAAAAGTCTGAAACCCAAACATTCTTGCTACAAAATAGAAGCATAAACATATAATTCTGAACATTTTAACATATGACTAATTAAATTAAAATATATATATATATTTATTTATTTTATTGATTTTTTTTTATGTGTTTGGGTTTCCTTTTCACCTCTTTGGCATACTTGGCAATAAAAAAAAAATTATTAATATAATTTCTAAATATTAGTGTGGTGTACTTGTCATTTGTGCTCATCAAATAATAATAGTGGTTTATGGGCATCAAAAAGTGCTAAAACTAGGCATTGATAACATGATAAATGAAATATCTGAAGTCCTAATAATGATTCAATATTATAAAGTAATATTCAAATTTCAGCTACAGACAATAATTTTTATCAAAATTCAGTTGAGTTTAATCTAAATTCAAAAGAATCTCTGCAAGCCTATCAAGATTATGAGAATAATTTAGAAGTAAATAAATTTGGAAGTAGGTTCAAATTAGAGAATAGTTTAGGGCATGAAAATGAATTAGTATATAAATTGAAAAGTGAAGATGAATTAGAAGATTGTGATAAATTGGTAAATAGCTTGGAATGCAGAAATAAATTTGATGATAGTGATGAATTGATGAATAATCTAAAAAGTGAAAATGAAGTTAAGAACAATGATAAATTGGAGAATAGTTTGGAAAGTAAAAATGAATTTGAGAACAATATTAAATTGGAGAATAGTTTATGGAGTAGAAATAAATTTAAGGACAATGATAAATGAGAGAATAGTTTATAGAGTGAAAATAAATTTGAAGACAATAATGAATGAGAGAATAGTTTAGAGTGTAGAAATGAATTTGAAGACAATGATAAATCAGAGAATAGTTTAATGAGTGGAAATGAATTTGAGAACTATGATGAATTAGAAAATAGTTTAGAGGGTGGTAATAAGTATATGAGCAGGCTTGAGTATGAAGATTCTAATAATAAGTCAGAGAGTGACAGTAATAATTCAACTATAACAGATACAAGTAATACAGATATTGAAGGTAATATATTATATTATAATATCTACTAGTATGCAACTTTATTTATTTATAGCAACTTTATTTATTTATATATAATTAAATATTAGAAAATATGTTCTTTATATCTCTTGAACTTGCTACTATGATTTGACTTCTGAAAATTAAAGTGCAAAATAATCTTACTGATGAAGCCTTTTTTGAAATCATAAAGACTGTAGTTACAAAATCTATAAGCTTATATTTAATTAAAAAAAAACTATTATTATTAATTCCATTTAAACTTGTGTAAATAGATATATGTATCAATACCTGTTGCACTTATATTGATGATTATAGTAATCTTACAGAATGTCTATATTGCAAAAAGGAATGATATCAAGCTGAATTTCATAATAACAAAGATCCTGAAACACATTGTAAATTTGCATATTTTCCAATTATTAATTGTCTTATAATGCAATATCAAGATGCAGAACAAACAAAAAATCTACTTTATCATTCAGAATATGTACCAAAGTCAGAATATCAATGTAATGAAAAAATTTAGATGTGTTTGATGGCCAACGATATAAAGATCTAGTACAAAGAGAATATTTTAAAGAAAAGTATGACATTGCATTATTAGCATCGATTGATGTGTTTCAAATTTTTAAACAGAGGACAGATGACTGCTAAATTCTGCTATTTATAAATGCAAATTTATCTCATAAAATACGTGTAAAAAAAATAATTTTTTGATCTTTACAATTATACTAGGTTCAAAAGAACTGAAAGAATTCTTTTTTATTTTCTACCATTGCTAAACTACAAAGATTAGAAGAAGAAGTAGTGTGACCTAGTGTTCAACATGAAGATACATTCATATTACATGGTTGTGTACTATCTTGGTCTGATGACACACATGTGCTTACAAAATTAATATGTCTTATAAGGCATAATTTATATAGAGGATGCTGCTATTGCAATATTAAAGGCATTTATTCTTCACATATATATTATTCTACCAACCACCCAGTGATCATAATAGTGAAACTTATAATCCTGAAAATTTACCAATTAGAACTCATAATGAATTCAAAAGACAAATAAAAAAAATTCAAAAAACACAAACACAATTAGAAAAAAATCAAACAATAAAATGTTATAGTATTTGCAAACAAAGTATATTATTTAATCTCAATATTACCAACTTTTCAAATACATTCCCTGTAGATATTATGCACTTATTTTATAAGAACATTGCTAGTTATACACTGGCTTATTGGATGGGTTCTTTTTTTACTGATCAAGATCAAAATAATAGTGAATATGTTTTAAACAAAGAAATATGAAATAAAATTGAAAATAAGATGCATTTAGTATAAAAAAACATTTCATCAAGTTTGGGTCAGCTATTGCAAAACATTGTTTTGCATTACTGTGGCTATAAAGCAGAGGAATGGTCCTCTTGGATTACAATGTATTTACTACTGTTTCTTAAAAATCAATTGTCTAATAAATATTACAAAGGATGGGGGTTGTTTGTAAAAGCTGTACGATTATGTTAAAAAAGAATAATAACATATGATAATTTAAATAAAATTAGATTATATCTTCTAGCATTTTATAGACATTATGAAAAAAAGTATTATTGTAGGCTATTAGAATGTTTAAGCACAATAAAAATATGTATACATAATATATTACATGTTTTAGAAAGTATTTTTCAAACTGGACCCTGTTGTGTGACATGGCAATATCCAATTGAAAGAATGTATGGAATGCTACTTCTCCTAACTAAATTGAAATTACATCCATACAAGAATTTTACTAATAATATTCACTTACATAAAATTTTTAATTGTTTAAAATTTAACTAAATAATATATAAAATTTATGATGAACATCTGGCTTATACTGGAGAAGGTGGACAAGATTTCTATTTTCCTTTAACTCAACACAAATTAATACAGGCTAAATTAAAAAAAATTAAAGAACATTTTTCTACTATATCAGATGTGTTTAAGTTGCAGCTTATGTCTTTTAATCAAATAGAAACAAAGTATAGTTAGCTTAGAACTAAAGATGGCCATTATATTGGGTCAAAATGGATTTACTATAATAAAAACTAGTCACAGATTAATTATACTATTATGGTAAAAATAGAAGTAGATATTTATATGAACTATTCTAAATGACTATCAGTATTCGAAGTTCAAGATTTTTATGCTATTGTAGAATATTATTTAGTTTATGAGTTCAAAAAATCAAAAGTAATGTTGGCATATATTCAGTGAACATTGCCTGTTAAAGAAGATAGTATTGGTGTAAAGACATTTAGTTAGTTAGGGTCATATGCATTTATTGATTTATCAGCTATTGATTATTGTATTGGTTTTATTAAAATTGATAAGTTATTTTACATTGTAGATAAAGAGATATATGATAATAAATAATTGTATATTATAAAAAATATTACACGAATTAAAAATCATTATCTTTGGTATCATATTATTTAAATAGAATATGTAGTGTTCATATTTTTTATATATCAAATGTGTATATATATTTTGTAGTATGCAAGTGAATATTTTCATGAAGCTTTTTTTTTAAAAAGTGATGTTATAGCAAAACTAATTGATCACAATAAAGTAAAATTTTAATTTTACTTTATAGTTTCTAAATTAAATATATTCGAATTCAAATTTTATTCTGAAATATATTAACCTTTTTTATAACAAACAGAAAAATTTTCCAAGAGTTATTACTTATTATTATGAACTAATATAGAACTTGTAAATTTTACAAAATTTATTATATGTTTGAAAAATCTATATATATATATAATGTTAAAAATATATGACTCATATGTATATATATATATATATATTAGATTCCAGTTCACTCTATTTAGAGTATTACTTAAAATATACTAATAAATAAATCTATATTTTGGATATTGACACTAGTAAATAGGGAGTCAGTTACTTTACAAAACAAAATCTTATGTAATCTACAATATGGCTCAATCGATAAGGGCATATTAGATTTGCAAGTTGGAATTATAGATAGTTAGTATAGTTGAATAATACAACACATAATGTAGTTGCCTAGAAAATAAAATTAGAAAAACATTAAATAACTAAAGGCCAACAAAGACCAACCTTAGCTTTTGTTAATAATATGTGAAAAAAATTATATACTGAAATAAGACATGTGATGATCGATATTCAGATAAAGTCACATGAGCAAGACAATTATGTGAATAAAGATCTATCACTATCCTACTTAACAATAGATCCAGGTTTGGATATTTTAGTTAGCACTATATTTACTTAGTAAACTTAAGTTTATATAGATCAATAGAAACTTGATTGAATGTGAAAGTTGTAAGTAGCATAAAACTTATCCTCTCTAGGAACTTTATAGTCTTTATTTATATTAAAAAAGTACTGTTACAAGTAAATGGCTTATATACTATATGTCTAATTTATATAACAAATTTTATAAATGCAACAATATCATAAATGCAATAAATGTGATAAGTTACAATTTCTTCCATGCTTGTTAGTTGAGCTGTAATACAAAACTGGATTAAATTCAGATTCACATATAAATTGTTAAAGATTAAAATAAAAACATATAGTTTATTAACATAAGCTTATACAGTATAACTGTAATAAAATTAGAGTACAATTGCAATACAACTGTTGTTACAATTACAATACAAGTATTGATATTTATTACAATATAATTATAATACAAATAAGACTATAATATAGCTTATTTCTGTATAATTTTTATACATAATTACTAACCAAATTTAATATTATAGAATCATATACAATTATTTTGCATAATTATTGGTCAAATTTATTGAATTGTATACTTTTATACAATTATTATTACTTTATAGATTTTTTAGTTTTTCTGCTTCAATACAAATATTGTATTGTATTGAATCTATTTTAAATATAATTTGTAAAAACTTAACAAAAATATAATTTATTTTGTATAATTTTTTTTTATAGAAAATGTGAGTAATAAGTAATAAGATTATTGATTATAATATAATTAATAAGAAGCTGCACAATATTGTTATATGAAACTAGGAACAGAAAGTAGATTTTTAGATTGAGTTGTAGATGAAACTGCTTTTATTATAAGTTTTTTGTTTGTTTAACTTTTATAAGTTTTATTTGCAAGTTTAAATTAGATTATATGTGCAATAGATTAAATACTAGCTATGTTATTTAGATGAACTTTATATTAGGAATTGACTTGACTATACTATGTTCAATCATTGATCGATTTAGATCAATTATCGATCCCCATTTAATGGGCTTGAGCAACAATAGATCAATCAATGATTGATAATGTTTGATTGATCAAATAATTATATCTTGATCGATTAAAAAATTTTTAATATGATTTTATCTGGGATATTACTGTATTAGTAACAATCTATTCATATTTATGACTGTCAATTGGTCTGTCTGGTATCAATTTTAAAAAAATTAAATTGGATCACCAATTAGTATTAGATCGAATGTATTGATTATTCAAAATGTTCTTAGCTTCCTAAATGCAATCAAAAAACTTTTTGTCTCTGTATTTTACAGAGAAGCTTGTTGTATCAGAAACATATGCTATTGTATTTAGTATACATGCCACTTCATACAGTGACTTTAACAATTATGATACTAATTTAGTTAGATGCTTCATAAATATGTACTGTATTAAAGTAAAATAATGTCTGTGCATAAAAGGTAATAAATAAGGGATATACTTAATTAATAACATATATTAGTGTCAAAATTTATGCCTATAGGCAAAGTAAGAAGTAATAAAATTAGTTAATGTCTTTTTCTCTAAAATTGATCATTAATTACAATACTTCTGTGATATCACTTTAATTGAAGACTACTTATACTTTGCTATTTGACATAGATTTTTACTGATAGGTGTCATTTATTAATTCGAAGAGAAAGATCAGGTGCAAATCTGGATCACTTTCTTATGATTTAGGATCTATTTTTTCATAATACGTACTTTATCCAGTTTGGTATTCATAATTTCTAAAACAAGTAGTACATTTAAATTATACTTACCACGTCTATATTGTATTATTATTAAGTTAAGGTGCTGTTAATTTCAAATTAGCTATTTTAACCTGGTTTTTTCACTTGCAGGGGTTAGTTATATATGAAAGTGTGAGTATCTTATGTTTAGACTAATCACAATTTTTTGATATGTTAAATATAGCATATATAAATCCATAACACGATTTTTATCTGTTTGCATTTAGCAAACCTTTATTTTTTTTAAAATGTCTAATTCAAAGAAACATCCTAATTATGCATTGCCCTCTCAACAAAATAAAAAAATTCATAACAACAATAATGATTTGCTTTTAGAAAAGCCTCAATGAATTGATATTGGGAATAATAAAACTAGTTTTGTTTGGAAGTATTTTGAGTTAAAAACTGATGGTTGCACTTACTGTAAATATATTATAAACAAGGGTGAAGAGATGGAATGTGAATGGAATTGCATTTATAATTCTCAAACTAGTAGTATGATTTATCATTTAGGATTTGCTTATAAAATATATGAAGAGAAATTAGTAAGTAAATTTTAAACAATAATAAAAATAAAGTAATTTGGCATTATTTACTATTATATTTAATGTTTAAAAACAAACAAAAATCAATAATCAATTTAAGAAAGTCGCATCACATAAAGAATCAAAGCAGCATAAATTACAATGTGCTGTTACAGACTAGATAATAACAGATTCCCAACCTTTTAATGCAGTAAATGGATTAGGATTTCAGAAAATGATGAAAAAAGTT